GAATGGCAAATCAGGTTTGCAAATAGAATAATTGCACACAGTACAACATGAAAAAATAAAAGTCAATGTCACTAGTTTCATAATCATTCCTTCTCCCTTTCTGCCTAGGTCAGCATTTCCCAAAATATGTTCCATTTAATTCCTGGAAATGAGAGCTGAAAAATGGGTTCACAAGTTTATAACATCTGGAAAATTCTTCACTTTCTTCCTTGTTAGTTTTTAGTACATCAACCGCTCTGAAAAGACCCCTAATAAATAAACTTGGGGGGGGGGCAGGAGAAAAAATAATAAACTTCTGTTTTGACTTAATGTTTTCCAAACATTTGCTAATGAAACACAGTCACATAGTAATCATTAACTGAAGATAGCCAAAAGGTAGAACCTCATTTAAACTTGCTATGCCAAAAAAGAAAGAAAGAAAAGAAATGATGCTAAACTGCTACTGCCTAGTCAGTCTCCTTCCTAATCTAGGAGGAAAAAAAAAAAAATCACACCAACTAAAACAACAAACATGGCACTTCCTGCCTCTTCCCTCATCCCCTTTCCAGTCTTCCTTACTCTTCAGTGGCTTCACTACCTGTGCTCCACTGAAGGCCTTCTTTTGCAGGATGTAAAGGATAACCATACAACTGGCAGAGCTAAGTGGCTTTCCTGAGGTACGATCCCTCCACAGGGTCACACAGGAATAGATGGTCAAACTTTACACTCTTCCCTCCACTTTTTTTGGTCAGCCATGGGGCTTGAAGTCTGGGCCTGGGCGCTGTCCCTGCACTCTTCAGCTCAAGGTAAGGGCTCTACCACTTGAGCCACAGTGCCACTTGTAGTTGTTTTTTATTGTTTTGTTTTGTTTTTTTTCCGGTTGTGGGTCCTGAACTCTGGGCCTGAGCACTGTCCTTCAGCTCTTCAGCTCAAGGCTAGTACCCTACCACTTGAGCCACAGCGCCACTTCCGGCTTTTTTCTTTTTGCTTATGTGGTGCTGAGGAATTGAACCCAGGGCCTCAGGCATGCAAGGCAAGCGCTCTACCACTGAGCCAACTTCCCAGCCCCCACTTCTAGTTTTCTAGTGGTTTATTGGAGATAAGACTCTCACAGTATCTTAAAAGAAAAAAAAAAGTCTCACGGACTTTCCTGCCCAGGCTGGCTTTGAACTAGATCCTCAGCTCTCAGCCTCCTGAGTAGCTAGGATTACAGGCATGAGCCACTGGTGCCCAGCTTTCCCTCCACTTCTATTACAAGGCATTCCACCCATCTCTAACAATGGTGATCTTCTCTGGTTCCTCTTTCTCTGTCCAACCCTTAAACTCTCAGACCAACTCTTGCTTCTCCCTTAAGCAAATGGCTTACAGTTTAATTGCTACCCTTTCCTGTCTCCACAATCCTAATCCTAAATTGTTTCCTTGACTTCAGACTCTCATTTCCAGTGGGCTTTCAGCTTGTGTTTGTTAACTTTTCTCCAAGGACTACACATTCAATACACTCCAACTAACTCCATCAATTTCCCCACCAAACTTTCTGCTCTTCCTGTCTTGATTTTTGTTACTGGAATCAACATTGAAGGGAAGGTGGACAGTAGAGTTAGCTGCTTCCCTATCAGCATACACACAATGTGAATTTGCCTTTGTTCAAAGTACCCACCACACTAGACCTTTCACTGCTAAACTCTTCACCAGCTCCAGCTATTAGCTGTACTAATACATATAAATTCAACACACTTGAAAAAAAACAAAAACAGATGAATCTTTTCAATTCACTTCACTCAAAACCTTTGAATTACACCCAACTCATAACTCCATTATTCAATCACCGATAATATACCAAGTTCCTGAGGTATCAATAAAAGCTCCTCTTTCCTTCATCAGAATTAAATAAAACTCCAAGCCAATGTTCCAAATGTCTTCTAAGTAACACTGCCTCCAAGCTACTACTGCTGCCAGGGCACTCTTTCTAAAGTACTAGTCTAACCACATTGTCTAACCAGGCTCACAATCTCCCACCCAATAGTTTCCCACTATATCTGGAATGCAGTACAAACCTTAGCAGCTATCTTTGCCTGGCCCTCTACAAGGGATCCATGCTATCTTCCATCCTTATCTCTTACTATTCTTTGTTCTAGTCCAAGGGTCACAATACAGCCAAATCTAGCTACCTGCTTGTTTTTATAAATATCACTCACCACTATCTTTTTGTTTTGTTTTATCACAGTGCTACACTTCCAAACCTAAGACTCTTGCTTGCTAGGCAAGTGCCCTACCACAGAGCATTATCTCCACCCCACTTGAACATTATCTACGACTGCATGGGTGCTATAGCAGAAAAGCTAAGTAGTTATAACAGAGATCACAGAGCTTAGAATATTTACGATTTAGCTTTTTACAAAAAAATAAAAATACAGAGCTCTATTCTAACAGGTAATAGGCAATTCCCTAAGATGGCCTGTGTTTCATACCATTTCTTAGTGTCTGCCATTCCCATCTCTCAGAAGGATGTGTCTCTGCTTCTGATGTTAACAGCTAGCTTCTGTGTTCCCAGTGCAGAATTTGCACCAACCCACACCATTGTCATACAAATATTTCTACTTCTGTAAACTGTCCATCTGCATCCCCATCCTCACAGAGCATAAAAGCACCTTGCTTTATAAATGTTTACTGAGGGGCTGGAAGGTGGCTCAGTGGTAGAGTGCTTGCCTTGCATGCATGAGGCCCTGGGTTCAATTCCTCAGCATCACATAAGCAGAAAAAGCTGGAAGTGGTGCTATGGCTCAAGTAGTAGAGTGCTAGCCTTGAGCTGAAGAGCTGAGGGACAGTGCCCAGGCCGAGAGTTCAGGCCCCATGACCAGCAGGAAAACAAGGAAAAAGTTAGCTGAATTGAAACATCCTGCTTAAGCTCAAATACTGGGTGGAAATCAACATGATAATATTTAGTATGGAGGTATTCTTTTGTCACAGATACTCAGGCTTGAATTTAGGGCTCAGACTCTCAATTGGCTTTTTTTTGTTGTTGTTCAGAGTTGGTACTCTACTACTTGAGCCATACACCTCCAGTTCCAGCTTTTTGTTGGTTAATTGGAGATAATAGCCTCTCCGATTTGTTGGCACAGTCTAACTTTGAATTATGATCCTCAGATCTCAGCCTTCTGAGTAGCTAGGATTACAATTGTGAGGCACTGAGCCTGGATAGGGAGGTATTCTTAAGGCCAACATATGACTGTCTATTCAACTGCACAAGACTTGACAGTATGCTCAAGATACTAACATGGAAAAGTTTCTCAATCCCAGCCAGCACTATTAACATATAAGGCCAGCTAACTGCTACAGAGAGTTCCCTGTATATTGTAAAATGTTCAGTAGAATCTTCAGTCTCTATCCACTATATTCCTGGAACAACTACCCTATGCGACAAACAAAAGTGTCTCCAGACATTACTAAATGTCTTCTGAGGGAAAATATTACCCCCAGTTGAGAGGCACTATTCTGGAAGTTTCCAGGTTCAAGGTGACAGAAAGATGATGTTGCTAATAAAACATACACTACCCAGCAATTGTAGTACAGTGTCCAGATTAAAAGATAAAGCCCCAGGGTACTCAATACTATTGACTCACACTTGTGAGATTGTACTCAACTCTAAATTCTAAAGGGACTTGGAAAACTAGAATTCATTCAATTAAAGGTGACCAGGCCAATGGGACACTGGAGGAAAATATCCTAAGAGGAATATTTAACTAAATGGAAGTGGTCAGATAAAAGAGAACTCAGAATCTTTAAGAAGCAAATTGTGGGACTGTTAGTGGGAGAACTAGAACTAGAAAGCTGTGCCTGAAGGGGGCAGATTTGGCTCTATATAAATCAAAAGCTTTCTAACAATTAGAGTGGCCCAACATGTGTATTACATTGAGCCATGATGTCCTTTTGGAGCTGTTCAAGCACAGACCATGATACATCAAACAGGCTGTAGAGAGGGATTCTTGCACACCATGGGAAATAGTACGAGATTTAAGGTTTTTCTAGCTCTGGGTTAATGCTAGAAAAGGCCAAATGTCATGCATACGCCATATGTAATTCCAAGACCTTAATAACAGCAACATAGGTTTTTGTGAGAGTTTTCTTCTGTTGGGTGCTGAAAAAATAATAAGTCTAGCAATCCAGGAGGCTGAGATTTAAAGGAGAGTGGATGTTTAAAGCCAGTCCCAGAAGACAAGTCCATGAAACTATAAAATAACCAGCAAAAGCAGAGCTGGATATGTGGCTCAATTGGTAGAGAGCCAGCTGTGAACAAGCAAGAGGAATAAGCTCAAGGCTGAGTTCAAACCCCAAGGTTCTGGGTTTTTTTCCTTAAATAATTTATCCTATTTCTGCTTGGTAGCTTCTTACATTTAATCCCCAACACTATAACGACCAGTGACCTATTTTCTGTAATAATTCCTGGATAATTATCACCTCTACCTCTAACCATGCCTTTTATTCTACTAGTACAATTTGTAAAATGCTTTACTCACATTACCTAAATATGAATATAACAACTTATTCAGATGATCTACTCATTTGCAATCTCTTGCCTGAATTATAAACTCTAGCCTTCACAATTCACTAAGCACTCACTAATAAAGTATATTCCAGAAGATACTCATCTCCCAAACAAATCAATTACATACAATCCAGAGATAAGCCAAATCTAGTTATTTTAGTATCAGACATTCAAGTTTAATTATTTCAGCATCATAAACATAAATTTACTTCAATGCAATTTATATTTTATTCATGATAGGGGAGGAAAATGTGAAATATTACAAATTAGTATTTATAAATTACAATATGGCCATACAATCCAAAAGATCTAGTAAGCAGTCACCATAAAACACAAAGTACATGTGTTGTTAACAGGCAAAAATCACAGTCAGCTCTAAGCCCAGGACTCCTTAACTCCCCAGTTGAAACTGCCAGCAAGTGTTGGATAAAGAGTTACCCAAAAGCCTAACTGGGCCCTCACTAGTCAATTTACTTACTTCTTTGCGTTTCGTTTCTGGACATTCCGATTGCAGAGTAAGGGTTGCACCTTCAATATTTCTTGGCATGGGTGTGGAACCAGGGTTTATAGTCAAATGAATCTGATCTGGTGAGATAATATGTTGCACGTAACCCTGGGACATTGCTTCCTGGTCTATTAGGAAGCCCTCTTCACCCCCTACCAGAAAAGGCAAGTGTTCTCCACACTGTCCATCGTCATCTTCATCCTCCAAAGTGCCAGGGTCCTGCTCAATAAGAACAGTGGTCCTATCATAAACAGTTCCAGATGAGGAAGGCACCAGTCCATTTTCATCCACAAACCTGAGCATCTTGTCATCGGGGGTCAGGTCATCTTCGTCCGCCTTAAAGAAGATGATGTTGTCGTCTGGACTGTGTTCTCCCATGATTCAATGGTGCTCAGCTCAGTTGCGAGAAATGAAAAGGTAATGACCTTTCTGCAATAGACAAAGTCAGAATTAGTGCCATACCTCAAGAAACACTGACCTTAGCAACATTAGGATTCATTTTCTCCTTCTTATTTAAAACAGCAAGTGAAAAATTGACTTATTTGGAAATTTTTTTGGTTGGGTATGGGGCTTAAACTCTGGGCCTCGGTGCTGTCCCTCAGCTCTTCAACTCAAGGCAAGTGCTCTACCACTTGAACCCTACAGCCACTTCCAGTTTTCTAGTGGCTTATTGGAGATAAGAGTCTCACAACTTTCCTATTCAGGCTGGCTTCGAACTGTGATCCTCAGATCTCAGCCTCCTGAGTAGCTAGGATTACAGATGTCAGGTGTGAGCCACTGGTGCCCAGATGTTTTTTGGAAATATTTTTAACTTTGATACAATCAAGCAATTTTAAAGGGAAAGCCGTGCTTTTTTTTTTTCTTCAAAAACCTGAAGGATTAAGTAGTCTACAAGATCTTTTAAATGTGCTTTACTCTCAACCAGTTTCAGGATTGGACAAAATACTTGAAGAGGGTAATGGAGCAAATAGAAAGGAGGGTGCTTCAAGGTTGAATGGCTATAAACCTTAAAGTAAGGAGATCCTTTTCAAATATCCCCTAAAGCACACCATAAGGCATACACAGCCACTTGTAGTCGATGGTGGAAGGAGAAAGGCTTGGGATACAGTCAATCACCTACAAATCCTGTCTGTGTCTGCTCCTTATTTACTTGGGTAACTTTTCTGTGCCTCATTTTTATTACATGTATGGTGAGACTAGTAATTCCTGTTCTCTCAGAAATTGTTAGGAGGAACAAAAGAGAAAATGTATATAAAATAAATTCCTGGCAAACAACAGAACAACGTGAAAGTCTTCCCTCCTTACTAGAATAGATAGTTTTGCTTCAGGTGAAGAGCTAATCTCTATCAAGGAACAGCTAATGAAAATCACTTTGTCTCCTGAAATAATATGGTATGGACCAGAAGTTATTCTTGTCCTTAGGGAATGTCTGGAGTATAGTACAGAGACACTAGGAACTCAGGAAATGTCAGCTAAATGAATGACGATAGACAAGCAGATATACTCCCTTGAGGAAAATACCAAGTTTGAAGCTTTCATGGTTTGTACCAATGATTCTCCCTTCACCAGCAAACACACGGGTTCTACAAAATGTGGGCTTGCTGGGCAGCACAGAGACTTTATAAACAATCGGCATATCACTTTTAACTTGCAGCCTGGTTCTGCGCCTTCTCTTCGGCTCGGGGTTGGGATGTGAGCACCGATGTTGTGAGGCGGCCGACAGAGAAGTCGTTCTGTTACCAGGGACAAGTCAAGGGATCTAATCCGGGAGGAACACGCCCGACCCCTAGCTCTGCCTTACGCAATACCAAGGCTGCACATTCGGATGCCGGGAGAGAGGAGAGGACGGCAGGGCCCCGCGGAGCTGGCCCCGCACCTTCGGCGGCGATACGAAGACCAACTTTCCGGGACAAACCAGACCAGGTCTGAGGGAGGCCAAGGAGTGCGAGCCGAGCACCCCAGAGAGACTGAGTTAAGGAGCCTGCCGGGGACAGCCCCTAGTCCCTGACTACAGAGCAAAATCTGCAGACAAGCTGGGGGCGGGAGGGGGGGAGCGGACTACAAGACTGGCGAGCTGGGGCAGGGTCCGGGTCTCCATGGAAACAGGAAAGGGGGGCTGGATGCCCATCCCCATGGAAACGGAGGAGGGGTGGGGTCCCTACGGAGAGTGGAACGAGGTCTCCGCTGGGAAATGCGTCAGGAGGAAGCCTAAGTCCCGCGCCCCCCCGCGAAGTCATAGCCCAAGCCGAGTCTAGTTTTCGCCTTTTACCTCCGCGGCTCCCGGCAACTGCGGCGGCGGCGGCGGCGGCGGCGGCAGCAGCAGCTTCTCCCCTCCCCAGCGGCACCATGATTGCCCCCACCTTTCCCCGCCGTCACTTCCGCTTCCTCTTTCCGGAGGAAGGAGAGGACAGCGGCACGATTCTCTCTGGCGCTTCTGATTGGCGCTCCTATCTGGGAGCTGAGTGCACGCCTCCAATGGGCGAGCGGGAGGAGCGGGGCGGAGCGGGGCCGCGGAGGCGTCGCGGGAGCGTCGCGGGGAAGTGTCCGAAGCGTTAACGCGCTGTTCCGGGCTCCCGGTAGCAGCGGCATCCCCATCCACGAGTTCGGAATACTCTCCGCCCCGTTTGCACACTTATTGCAAACCGAAGAGAGGACGCCCGGCTTGAACCAGCAGGGGGCGAGCTTTCCGGACTTATTCTACCCCACCAGCGCCGTCTTGTCTCCCATCTAAGTTAACTCGGTCAGAAAAGGAAAAGTGGACCAAAGAGGCCGAGTTAGGAGAATTCTTGGCCCTGCCCGAGAGGAAGCGGCCGCCTCTTCCCTTTTCACACTTTGGTGGACGGTTTCCGATCTACTCACACTCGAGCTCACTTCGGCTGTCTCAAATCAACTTTTCTCCCTTAAGGGTTTCAGCGAACGCCACCTACTGGCCACTCGCTCCCACTGCCCGCTCTTACCCGCGCCCAGCCTCCATTACCATGCCAAGTAGTGGCACTGGCATCCTGGGTACGATTTTGTCTCTACCTCTTAGTATGTCCCAGTCTTTTCTAGATGCCTGTGAAGTGTAGTTATTGGACCCTCTCTGCAGCCACTGCCTGTTTTCTCCTTGAGGTACTTTTCTGGAATACTCGAGTGGGTCCAGGCTCTGTGGTAGCTCATGCCTGTAAATCCTAGCTATTCAAGAGGCTGAGATATGAGGATCGTAGTTCTTAGCTTGGGCTGGGAGTTTGTGGACTCTTTTATCCAACTAACCTCCAGAAAGCCAGAAGTGGGGCTGTGGCTCAAGTGGTAGAGCACAAGCCATACGCAAAAGATTACGCACAGTGCCCAGGCCCTGAGTTTAAGCCCCAGGACTGGCAAAAAAAAAAGTGAAAAAAAAGTAGGACAATCTTGAGAGAGGGGATTAAAGCCATTTGACCAACTCTTGCTTGGAAATGTGGATAATGTTGACTCTATGCCTCTTTGGGCCCTGACTGGCTTAGCTGTCTCAGTATTAAGCTATGAAGGTTCACAAGTCAATAGCTCAGTGAGAAAAACAAAACATGCACAGGAACAACTGTTAAAAATGCATTTATCATTAAAATATATTAGACTATGAAAGAAGGGATACATTATAAAGAGCTCGGAGGATTTGCAGGCCCAGAAAAATCCATCTGACCCTCCAGAACCTGGTTACCTCCTATGTTTTCATATCTAAGCCACTGTATTCTCAAAGGCTGAGTGGCCAGCCTCAGAGTTACCTAGCCACATCTAAGTTGAAAGGGGGTAAGAGTTCCTATATACACATTGAGCAGTGGAAGCATCTGTGGTAGCTCAGGGTTGTTTACCCAGGAGCATTCTTGCTGTCCAACTCATTCTCCCCTTGGGACTTCCAAGTTTGTCCAAATATCTGATCACAAGTTCAGCCCAGGTTGTAGGAAGCAATGACTGCCCTCGAGGCAGGTTGAGTGAGCAAAAAAACAGTTCTATAAAAAATTTTTAAATAAAAAAATGAATAGAAATCTATTTTGCGTTAAATAACTAAAGTTGAACATCAAATGTCAGTTTTACCAAGGTGGAATTCCCCCATGTTTTCACAACTCTGCATAGGGTATGCTAACCCCAAGCACTAGCAGTGGGTAGGTGTAGCATCTGGAAGAGACAGCCACTGTTCTTGCTTCCAGGTGGCTTTGTTTCATCCCAAGACAGACATCTCTTGAGCTGAAACAGGTAGGGCTAGCAACTGGCTGCCTTGAATGAAACTGGAGATGAGAGAGGCTCAGAGTGGGTTGCAGAGAAACTGATGAATAAACTCTTGAGCTTTTTTCTTCTCTGTGATTTCAAGCTTTGGATGACCAGTTGGGTTTCGAAGCAGTAAGCTGCCAAATATGCTTGCTGTGTGTGAAAATAAAGAAAATACTACTTACTTTTATGTTGTTAGAAATAATTTCTGGTTTCAAAAATAGGGGAGTGAGCCGGGTGCCGGTGGCTCATGTCTGGAATCCTAGCTACTCAGGAGATTGAGATCTCAGGATCTTGGTTCAAAGCCAGCCCGGGCAGGAAAGTCCGTGAGACTCTTATCTCCAATAAACCACTAAAAAACCGGAAGTGGCACTGTGGCTCAAGCAGTAGAACGCTCGCCTTGAGCTGAAGAGCACAGGGATAGTGCCCAAGCCCAGAGTTTAAGCCCCACAACTGACCAAATAAATAAATATATAAATAAATAAAAGTAGGGGAGTGGTGTATGCTATAATCCCAACACTATAAATTCCAGGCCAGCCTAGGGTACATAGTTGAGTTTAAGGTCTGTCTAAACTGCATAGCAAGACCCTTTATGTCTCTGTCTCTTTCTCTTTCTCTCTCTCACACACACACCTATTTTGTTGTTACATGCTAGGCAAGCATTCCATTACTAAGCTATTCCCCCATCTAAACTGAGTATAAATTTTGCCCAGAGCTGGATGTGGTGATGCATACCTGTAATCCTGCATTTGGGAGGCTAAGGCAACAGGATCAAGAGTTCAAAATCAACCTGGGCTATCTAGCTAGACCCTGTCTTAAAAAAAATTATTTTTGCCCCCAGAACTTGACATTTTAAGCTCTGTTGCCAATAACCTGAAACCCTGCAAAGCCTCCTTTCTCAGAATAAATCCATTTGTTTGCAGAGGTGCTTTCTGTAAACATTTGGATACTTACCTAGAATATTCTCATCCAAATGATTTTTCGCTGAATTTTTCAGCAATTCTTGCAAAAACGCCATCAAGTAATTGAAGACATTTTTATGACATCTGGGAAGAGTAGAAATGACCTGAAAGAGGAAGAGGTGGGATTTGCCTTTTTTTTTTTTTTTTTGGTTGTGGGGCTTGAACTCTAGACCTGGGCGCTGTCCCTCCACTCTTCAGCTCAAGGGTAATGCTCTACCACTTGAGCCACAGTGACACTTCCAGTTTTCTGAGTGATTTATTGGAGTTAAGAGTCTCACGGACTTTCCTGCCCTGGCTGGCTTTGAACCGCCATCCTCAGATCTCAGTCTCCTTAGTAGCTAGGATTACAGACATGAGCCACCAGCACCGGGCTTTACTGTTTTGTTTTTGTTCTGTGGGTCGTGGGGCCTGAACTCTGAGCCTGGGCACTGTCCCTCAGCTCTTCAGCTCAAGGCTAGTGCTCTACCACTTGAGCCACAGCGCCACTTCTGGCTTTTTCTGCTTATGTGGTGTTGAGGACTCGAACTCAGGGCCTCAGGCATGCAAGGCAAGCACTCTACCACTGAGCCACCTTCCCAGCCTGATTGCCCATTTTTGCTCACTCAATTATTTGCCAAGATGCCTGCTATATTCTAAGAACTGAGTACATAATGTATGAGCATGAATAAGACTGCACAGAAAACTTTAACCACTTACTGCCTGGCATTAAATACTAAAAGAGAAGCATGGGTCAAACACTATGTGAATTTGAAGGTCAGACTTCTAACTCTGTGTTCTCAGAAGACTTAGGAAATAGATGTCAGACCCAATGTCAGTTGGGTCTTGTAATATAAAATTGGACTAGTAAACGACTAGGTAAGGTCTAGAGAGTTTTGGGCAAAGAAAGTATGAAAAATCAAGAGAAGGCAATCAGCATGACAAGCAGAATGAGTACACTATTAAGAAATTACTTTTGGAGCCGGGCGCTGGTGGCTCACGCCTGTAATCCTAGCTACTCAGGAGGCTGAGATCTGTGGATCGCGGTTCAAAGCCAGCCCAGGCAGGAGAGATCGTGAGACTCCCTATCTCTAATAAACCACCACAAAACTGGAAATGGTCGCTGTAGCTCAAGTGGTTACAGCCTTGAGCTGAACAGCTGAAGGAACGATTAACAGCCATTAAGCATGGAAGGGTTCAGGCTAGAAATCAATGAATAGTACAGCTATTTGCATATCGGGATCAACTGGAAAACTTGAACAAAATACATTCCAAAAGACATTTTCATTCACTGAATATCAGCTAAGTTCCTGGAACTTGAATTATTGTCAAGTGTTTTAGATTATTCTGTCACTACCTGTTATATAAATGAACCACTAGGTGAAATCATGGGAAGTCTTGAATATTTAAGAAAATAATTGAGCCACTGGGCTGGGAAGGTGGCTCAGTGGTAGAGCGCTTGCCTTGCATGCGTGAGGCTCTGGGTTCGATTCCTCAGCACCACATAAGCAAAAAGAAAAAAGGGGCTGGGAAGGTGGCTCAGTGGTAGAGCGCTTGCCTTGCATGCGTGAGGCTCTGGGTTCGATTCCTCAGCACCACATAAGCAAAAAGAAAAAAGCCGGAAGTGGCACTGTGGCTCAAGTGGTAGAGTGCTAGCCTTGAGCTGAGGAGCTGAGGGACAGCACCCAGGCCCAGAGTTCAGGCCCCACGACCTGACCAAAAAAAAAGAAAATAATTGAGCCAGATGTTAGTGGCTCACACCTGTAATCCTAGCTACTCAAAGAGGCTAAAATCTGAGGTTCAAGATTCAGAGTCAGGGGCTGGGAAGGTAGCTTAGTGGTAGAGTGCTTGCCTTGCATTCATGAGGCCCTGGGTTCGATTCCTCAGCACCACATGAGCAAAAAGAAAAAAGCCGGTAGTGGTGTTGTGGCTCAAGTGGTAGAGCGCTAGCCTTGAGCTGAAGAGCTGAGTGACAGTGCCCAAACCCAGAGTTGAGGCCCTACAACCGGACCCAAAAAAAAAAAAAAAAAGATTCAGAGTCAGCCCAGAAAGATAGGACTTTTTTTTTTTTTTTGCCAGTCCTGGGGCTTAAACTTAGGGCTTGGGAACGAGCTTCTTTTGCTCAAGGCTAGTATTCTACCACTTCAGTTACATTGCCACTTCCAGCCTTTTCTGTTTAGGTGACACTGATGAATCAGAAC